TGGGCAGCTTTCAGAGGATTGGTCTCAAATGACTGAAGGCATTCGAAGGCATGTCTCCCACTGGAGTCCAGTTTGTAATCATGGGCACTGATATGGGCTACAAATATAATGATCAGTTGACGGATATAACAAGTCCAACATATCAAACGCAACTTATAAATCATTAGTTTCAAAAGGCCCAAAACATAATATCATCAATGTAATTCTTCCTCGCAAAATCTTTAATAATATGTAAACCCCCAAACCTCCAATATGCCACACATATCCCCGGTAGTAATTTAACACAGCGAGTTGCTCTAATTTCACATCATCATGAGCGACATCTTGACACGAACTCTCGTTTCGTCAAATATAATTGATGTGACTTAAATATCGTTTAATCATTCTCCACGAAATTTGCTTACATGTACAAATCATATAAGAATATGTATATAGCTCATCAGTTACCTTGGTTTCGCTTTCATTTATCCTTTACACATTTTCCCAAGAGATAAACTTACTTGAGCGTCAAGTATGAACAATCAATGTGAAAAAACAAATTAAACTGACTAATTAAAAATTTACAAGAAATTCGATGGTTTTATATATTTAAGCAAAGTCTCAATAGCGTTTTGATTATTGGCTCTTGTCTAAGAATCTTGGCATTTTTGTTGTAGAGTTTGATTACGTGTGAAATATTTCCTTGACGGGTTATTTTAGTTTCGATTTAGATACGTATTCGGAGATTGTGAGGGATCTTCGTTGGATATATATTTTTTTTTTTTGTGCAAACCAAACTTTCATTACTACAAATTAATATTATAGGCTAAGAGTTCGGAGGGAAAATTTTGGCAATGAAACTGCAGTTTCATTCTCTAAACGAGAAACATACATAATTGAGATAGAAGAAAAAAATGATCTCAATAGGCAACGGATGTCAAAGGGAAGACTTTTCAACGGATTTAATTTAGGAGCATGACAAGAAATTGAGAATCTATGAACACATTAAGTTCTTTTATCTCTGAACGTGAAGTTGTAGTGAGTGCGGCTGTAAGAGCAAGAGCTTCAACTGCCAATGCTGAGGAAACAAACTTAAACATAGCTGATCCTTGAAACATAGTAGCTTTACTCTCATTTGTAAATTATGTTCCATCCCTTAATCTACTGGATTTTACGGAGTCCAACCTGTCCCACAATCTGGGGAGATCGAGTTCCAAGCAACACATTACTTGAAACATAGTAGCTTCTTTGGATAGTTTCTAGAAACCATTTATGCTGCATCAAAATCACATTACTGAATCATGGAGATTAATCTATATTTCATTTACACTACATTCTTAGATTTGTTTCAAGATCTTTTGGACATAATTTAGAACTTTCTCTTGGAGATCATTTCAGTATTAATAAGCCTTCCTAGCTAGGAAGATTATTTCGTATGAATGTTGATTACCATGGTTTAGTCACTCTTAATTACGCTTTTAATCTAATTTTAGTATTTGAAATTTTTGGCATGATCTGTTTAGTTTTTGTTGGTATGTTGCATTCCCTCTTGCTATCCATTCAACAAGAGAAAAAAAAGGATGATTAGTATTAACAAAATAAAATACTCACTCTTGTTTTTTGTAATGATAAAAAAATC